TCGGGAGGGTGTAGTATTCGCGGTATCAGGCACGATTATGCAAACTATCAGACTAATGAGATCCATTTGGTCTCATTTTTTCAAAAATTAAAACATACTACTTTTAAAACTCAAACTATATATCTTTTATACTTAAATTAAATCTCAAAAATTATTTTCATATACCATATTTTCATAATTAATCAATCGAAAAAAAGTTGACTGACAGTAGCGTAAGTCCTAACTCGTCTTAGGTTCCGAGGTTATCGTGTAGCACGACGTAAACCCTCTTATTTTCACGGGTTATTTGCATAATCGAATATTATGCAAATGTAAGTCCTAAATAATAAAATTGGCATGATTGAACAATTGAATAACATCATATCCAAAATGCAGCCACACAGTGTGATAATTTGGGAAGTCACTGAGATTTTCTCCTCAGAATCTATGACATCCCTTACTTTTTCCTTCCTTTGAACTCCTCAAAATAATTGTTCCTATTTAAGTCATTCTATCTTGCTTTTCTACGTCCTACCGTGAAAACCTAAATTTTGAATTCTTGAAAACTAGTACCTCTGCTCATAATCGAGAGTTTTCCCAAGTGACCCCCGTCATTTGGAATGTAATTAACTATAGGGACTTGCCTCTATAGGGAATTTGGAACTCAGCTAAAATAAACTCTATTGAATCTTTGTATTAGATAGAAAACTTGTTGGTCACACATAAAAGGTTCGCAGATCAAACGGATGTCACAAATCTCTTAGTTTGCAAGATTGGGTCTATGACCGAGGTCTACACTTATCTTTCGGGAGAGTGTAGTATTCAAGGTATCGGACACGATTATGCAAACTATTGGCTATTGGACGAAACTATCAGACTAATGAGATCCATTTAGTCTCATTTTTCAAAAATTAAAACATACTGCTTTCAAAACCCAAACCGTATACTACTTCTATTGAAATTAAATCTCAAAAATTATTTTTCATATTTTTCAAATCTTCAAAAAGTTGACCAACAGCACGACACCTAAAAAAAATTATTTGTGGTGGGAATTTCCAATTGTCATTAAACTTACACAAAAGTGAAAGCGCTGTCTAAATTTATTGAAATAATTTTGACACAGATAAATTGCGAGTATAAATGCAAAAGCAAAAAAAAAACAGAAATCTCATTTAGTGTGCAAGTAAGAAAATATAATTAAAAACACTAGCACAAATTTCAAAAAATATTTGCCACAAACAAAGATGGAAATACAAGAAAATTTGCAAACAAAATGTAACGACGGCATTGTAGAGTGCGGAAATAATTTAAAAAAAATTATAATCATATTTGTATGAATTTTAGTTCATTACTAAATGGGATGAATACAGCAAGCTTGAGTAAACAAATGGATGAAATGGCGCCCTAAAAAAGTGCTGCATCGCAAAGCATGCAAATGACACACCTTAAAATACATAAAGTAGTAATCGTGAGGGGTGGCATAATTCATAAAGCAAATGTGCATCATAAAGTGCCTAGCAATTTTCCTTGCAAAGCATGCAAAATGATGCCAAAGGCTTGGCACAAGATGCATAGTAAAGAGCACGGTATGATAGAATAACAAACATTGCAACATACGCTTACAAGCAGTTAGATAAAATATTCAAACAAGGAAAAATTTGGACACATTTGTCAATGAAAACTTTATGTGAAGCAAGTTGCATTGAAAAGCACGTCACACATACTTTTTCATGCAAATGAACTATAAATCTACATGCTTTAAAAAATGTGCAAAATATTCACCAATTCAAATGCCCATTCACAACCCTCTCTAAAAGACTACATGTTTTTTGTGCGTCAATCTGGCTTAAGAAAATTGAAACTAGGAACATGGTTTTTTCTTTAAGCATAAAAATAAAATAATATATATATAAAGAAAATCAAGAAAAATAAACAGAAATTCTTAGAAAAAAAAATGTAAAACACCTCCCATAAAAAGTGAAAAAAACCAAATGAAGGGATAAATAGGAAGAAAAAGATAAAGAGTATGGAAAGATATATATAATTCAAAGAAGCTTCATAATATTCCAAAATAATTCCACTAGCTATGCTTAGTAACTAGAACCATGTAGGAACTGTATTGAGGCATTTGGGCCCATGCTCTCCACCCAATACACCCAAAATTTTGAAAAATGTACATGAATTAAGCATAAATTTGAAAAAAAAAAAGAGGTATATCAAAGTTGGATCATTACATGTGAGGGTAAAGTTAGTAGAGCATGCATTCCAACGACTGACAAAATGATAAAGACCTTGTATAATGATGAGTAACCCAGCTTGTAAGACAGGGTCTTCAAGTACCAAGTTACGGGTCCTCTCCAGCACCTAAGTTATAAGTCCGAAGGCTCGACCATATACACACGATAGAAGAGTTGATAGGGTCTATAACCCAATATTGTCTGAAATCTCACCTTCTATTTTATATCACAATATTGGCCAAAGCCCAAATCCTAAATACAACAATAAAGTTGATGTGATTAATAATCTAAATAATATTTCACTACATGATCCTCCTCCACATGCAAAAGTAGCATGTTGACAATGATCTAAATGGTTAACTGCCGATCACATATTTTTTTCTCGAATAAACCAAGATATCAATGAATACACAACATGTTCAGAAAAAAAAAAAAAAAAAACTGAAAGTAAAAATAAGAAAAGAAAAGAAAATTTGGAAAAGATCGACAATTTATGATTAAATATTTAAAAAAATAGGAAAGTTAAAAAAAAAACCATTTTGAAGCCTTCTTAAAGTCCTTTCAATGCATATAACCCTCGTGTTTTTTCTTAAAATGTATAAATAGCACTACAAAAGTTCTTAAAATTGTAAACAAATACAATTGTCCATGAAATATGAAATTTGATCTCTTGGCCCCATCTTCCAAAATTTAAAAAATCAGTAGTCAATAAAGATCTAAAGGAGGATGATTGTCATGTAAACACAAAAAATAAATGTGACCTTCCATTTAAGGCAGCACCACAAGATCCCAACCTTTAAATGTGATCCTCCATATGTGGGAGTAGAGCGGACAGGGAGTAGAGCGGACAGGGAGTCTATATATTAGCAAATGTCAAGGTAGAACATTATTGATTAAGAGCATGAGGTTCACCAAAATATTTTGAAAAGCATTTGCATAAGGCCTTCAAACTTTTCTGTGATAAATCCAATTAAAAAAAAAAACTTCAAGGATCTTTTCACTTGTAAGGCAAAGTCATAAATTCCAATTACTGAGCCTTCCCTAAATCTTTTAATAAAAGCCCTAACCCCCAATACATAGCATGTTAAAAAAAAGTATTGGTGAACTAAATGCCTTAAATAAAAAATTCACATGGTCCTAATCCTTTGCAAGTGATAAATGGATAAGGCTAATTTCACAATAACTATCATATAAAAAACATATCAACCTATATTTGTGCGCCAATTAAATGACTACCTTACAAAACAAAAGATTAAAAAAAAATTGAGAGTCAAGATACATATTCCGCAACTTACACACCAACGAAATGCACCCAAGGTGCAGATTCGCACGAGACAAGTATAATTATCCAGAGATTATATTTGGAGGAAATTATATCATAACAAAACCGCTTGCTCAATTTTCTAATGGGCATAATAAAAAAATCATATTCCAACATTCCATCTAAGTTCATTCCCCCAAAAAAAGACAAATAAAATAAATATACACATATATATAAGCTTAAAAATCAAACAACAATCTACCATTTACCGCTTAGAATCATGCATTCATCCTTCCCACCAATTTCACAAGGAAAGCAAATTCAACTTTAACTTAAGCTCACAAAAAGATAATGTCATATAAATTTGTTTATATGACACTCAAAATCTAATGCCAGTAAGAATATAGGGCATGCCCCAAGCTGAGGTGTTGGTATAACTTCAAAAACACCACTATAATGCCTGAATGTTCCTTAATGATGAAGTCTGAGTCATGGACCACATAAGGCACAATGAGCCACATAGGACCACATAAGGCACAATGACCCAAGCTGAGGTGTTGGCATAACTTCAAAAACACCACTATAATGCCTGAATGTTCCTTAATGATGAAGTCTGAGTCACGAACCACATAAGGCACAATGAGCCACATAGGACGCACGCGATGAAAATGAACACCTAAAGTCAACTTAAGATAAGCTTTTCCCCCAAGCCTATAAAGCATATCTTTAAAAGAAATAACCCATGGTTGTTTGCTAGAATACTTCAATTATATTTGGCCAACTATCACTATTGACTAAGCAGAATGGAATTCATGACAACCAAAGAAGGCTAAATCATAAGAACTTGATTTAGTTTGTCCTTATTTCTCCCACCATCCGCTCCAAATAAATAGTAGTACATGTTCTCCAGAAAATTCAAATTAGTGGCACTAAAACAAAAAAGTTATAGAGCTAACTATCAAGCCTTAAACAAAAATGATTTCTGGTGATGGAGAGGGTTTAATTATAACAGCGCTTGTATTTATTAGAAACTTTTGAACCATATCATAAAGTTCCCCTACGATGGAAAGAGCTATGGGTAATGTTTTATTTGATATCCAATTAGTTTTCTATAAACTTACACTCAAAATCATACATAAGTAATGAACAAACCTGGGGCAGCAACAATAAAAGCCCATACAGCACAGTGATCAACCACGGATACTTGTCAGGGTACAAAAGCTGTAAACAAATAAAAGAATTAAAGAAAAATACACAATAGTGCGGTGAATCTATCTCAAAGCATATAAAGAGCATAAATCCTAAAAAAAAACCTTCCAAGTTGAAATCCACAAAAAAAACATCCAAAATTTCAAGCTCAGAGAGTGTATACTTAATCATAGCCTTAACAATTTTAATTCTCATGACTCTACAAAGATGATAAATAGACGGGAATAAACATGAACCAAAATGTATTTTATTGCTATAAAAAATTCATGAGATGCACAAAGACTCATGCTAATGCCTTGATGTAGTTTTGTTAATAATTAAAAAAAAAAAACTTAAGGAATGTAAATGGGTTGAGAATAAACATTTACTGCTTATATATAAGCATGAAAATTTACATCATATTTGCAGTTAAAGAGAATCATCAGTACAAGTCATATAACAAATGCATGAGCGAAGACAATACAACAAAGAATTGAACAATTATCTTCTATGTCGGAGAATCCATTTATGCCAAAATGATCTTACCATAAAAGCAAATTCATGCTAACACATTTAATAGGAAGTACAAATAGCAATAAAAGGATCATCACATAATTTTTATAAATCTTGAAAAGATCCGATCAATTAGTATCATGGAAGCAATATCAAAAACAATATGAAAAATTATGCCTCAGTTAGGCTAAAATTATTAAAGATATGCTTTGTGGAGAGGTGAAAAGCATAGGAATAAGTTGTACAGAATTGAAAGAGTATCAAATCATAGTTGGATTACATCAAAGATCACAAATAGATCCTTAGTTTTTAGTTTTAATACTTCTAAAATATCCAAAAAGGGGTATTGCAAAGTATTCCTATTGTAGATAATATAAATTTATAAAACAATATATTGAAAAATAATAATTTAATAAAATAATGGCATAAGGATGAGTGAAATCGATATAAAGTACATTTCATCAAGGTTTAAAAAAGCCAAATGGGGAATTGACACATTTTGCCTTAGTGAAGCAAAGCATAAATCTTAAGACATAATGACATGGGCAGAAAAAATTCCCATTTAAGCAAAAAATGGTTGGGACGGAATTCTGTCCGAGGGTTGTTATTGGAAGATTTCTGCCTTGTTTTTGAGCCAATCTTGTGGGTACATTATTAATATTATTTTAATTAGGATTAATATTTAATTTTATGGCTTAGCATTAGTTAAGATTAGAATCTTTAGAGATTTTTAAAATTGGTTTATATTATTATTTGGAGATTTTTTTCCTCCTTGTATTCTCTATTGGTGTATTGTATCATTTTATTCCTCTTAGGTGGTGTGTTCATAAACTTGCTTGGATAGATGTGGTGATTTCTCCCAAACATCCAAAGGACTCCTTCATGACCAACCTTGCAGCCGACTGACTATTATTACTGTTCCATCTTGTTGTCAAGCCATAGGGACGCCAATTTCTCAATCTACGTCTTTCCACCCTTTTCGTCATCCTACAACTTATCTAACCCTTCTCTGTGTTATTCCACATCAGCCAAGAACCCTAGATCAATAACAAGTAAGCCTTAAAATAGAAAAAAAATTAATAAAATTAAAAATGATTCATTAATATGACATAAATCATTGATATATTGATTTAGTTTATTGTCATGAAGACATGAACCATAAATCTTAATCTTAAAGGATGAAAAATAAAATTTTGAAATAAAATTTGGAGTAAGCATTCACTTAAAAATTTTAAAATAATGAGGATCAAGATCCACAACGGTCTAATTTTCTTATCATATATAATAATTTTGTTATCAAATTATTGCATCATATTTGCATTTTCAAATCATCTTCAAACATTATATTTTTCTTCTTATTCCCTAAATCAATTAAAACTAGATAGAATATAATTTAAAATAAACTAACAAACAAGTAGCATAACCAGGTAAACATACTTAATTTACCTTTTGACATTTTCTATGTATTGCATCAAATATAGTATATATAAATATAATATAATATAATTTAAGATAAACCGCCTAAAACACCTTGTGGAATAAAGTCTTGAAACTAAACCGCCTAAAACACCTTGTGGAATAAGGCCTTAAAATGTAAAGCTAAAAGAAAGTGTCAGCCTCATTAGTGATAGTGAAGCTTAGGCATCGAGATGTTTTGTAAATCAAGATGTACCTCGAAATATGCGCGTGTGCTTCAAACACCTTTCTAAACAAAGCATTTTATGTTCAATGAAAGGAAGGGAAGGGAAGTTGATAACTAATATAATTCAAAGATAAATGAGACACGTCATCAATTTAAAAGCCCTTGAAAAAACTTTAATTTCAAATCAAGTTTTCAAAATTTGGACTTGACTGGCCGATTCAATTGGTTTGACCATAAACCAAGCATAAATCCAATCAAGTTTACCTCAAAAACCATTTTCGCATAAAACTAGTGAAAATCGATGTGAACCTCCTGTTCAACCGATAAATTGTTGAATCCGTTTATATTATATAAAATCAGTCAATCCAAATAGCACATTTAATTACCATTAAATCTCAATCCAATGGTTGAAATTTTTCTATAAAAAATAAAACGATAAATTGTATTAAGTTAAAATTATAATCATGCATTTAAAAATCTTAAATTTAATTAACATGAGCTTAATCAAGCTATTCCATAGCCTATCCACCACTCATTTGAGTTACAATCTCGTACAACAAAACTCTTAATAATGTTATATTAACTCTGCTATGATGTGAGACTAAAAAAAGATAAACACCAAAAATTTGAGTTGCAAAAACATAGAATTGAGCTATGAGATTTGGGCTTCTAAATATTAAATAAGCTGCAGGATGTGAGAATATTAAAATAAAATTTTAATTTTCAAAATTTATATATTATTAAATTTATATTCTTATTAATTTTTCTAAATTATATTCTTACTATATTTATATTTATATATTCATATTAAAATTTTTAAATACTTTGCATATATATATATTAAAGAGAGAGAGAGTGTGTGAGAATTTTATAAAGCACATATAATTATACCATAAATAGCTTTATATCATATTTAAATCTATAATTATTGAAGACATTAGTTGTGGGCGAGTTCTATTTATTTGTTGTCACATATTTATCATATATTTATTTATTTGCATCATTTAAATCATATTACAAGAGTTTTAATATTTATTGTGTCATTTGATTCAACCATTGAATCCTAAATCTCTCATCTTTAAATTCAACGGCCCATCCGATTTTCAAAACCTTGGTTAAATATTAAAATGGAGAAATAACTTCCATAGCCATAAAAGAAGAGCACCATAGGAAATAAAAAATGATAAATTTTATAAGATAGTAATTTAAATAAATTATAGTTGTGGATCAAAACACTGGGCAACAAAGAAATGTGATGCACAATATTGGACTAAAGATTTTTTTATTTAAATAGATGTGCGGTAAAATAGTAAGAGAGCATACTTAATATATAAAGGTAACTAGTGTAATGGATGTAGCACCTATTGAAGGTAAAGTAGTTGAAAAAATTTGAAGGGTTTATCCATGTACAGGATAGAACAAAAGATACGTCAATAAAGCAATAAATAGAATTAAATGACGTCAATAAAGTAGATAAATAGAATAAATAGAATTAAACGAAGGCTAGGGAGAACTTCCTTATCGAGAGTATTAACAAAAAAGTTACTAAAATTATGTATGGCAAAACAACAGAGTAAGAAAGAACTATATCACAGGCAACACCTATTGAAGGCAAAGCAATTAAAAAAAAAAATTTAAAGAGTTTGAACATGTAAGAGGACAGTTTACGCGCCGATTAAGAAGATAAATATAATTAAGTGGGAAGGATTAGCAAGGGAAAAGATTAAGTTAAACATCATATGGTAAGAAAATCAAGAAAGATGCAGCATTCAAAGGAAAGAAAAAGAATTAATTAATTTGACACAAAATAATTGTGATAGAGTAAATGATTAGGATGACAATAAAAAATGGGTTGATGTATTTTAAACATTTAGATAAACAAGACAAAGATAATAAGACATTGAAAAAATAAACATCTTTTATAGGAAATCCAAATTTTAGTTTCTTCCATACCATACTTACAAAAGATAACGCACTTGCTGGGAAAGATTTCTTCTTTAAAATCAAGTACAAAAGCAAAAGATGCACATAGATCTAAATCAATACTATTAAAAAGCCTAAGGCTGATCACGTTGTCCAAGTTGAAGTAATCAAACTTAATGTAAAAGAAAGTTGCTGGGTTCAATATAAACCATTCATGGAACATGTACCTGCAATCTCAAATAAGTAAACACTGGCGTCTCAAGTAGGCGGATCAACTTGTCCAACTGCATCAAGAACTTTACATTTATGTCATCCTCCCCTAGAGACTTAATTACATCGCTAGCGTGATGATAAGCCTTCAATAGTTTAAAAAAAAAATCAATTTGACTAAAAGTTCATAATAAAGAAATCAAGCAGCTATCTAGATCCCTACCTGAGCAAGCAAACACAAGCTTATTATTGCCATCGGTGAATGGCACCAAGAAGAATATAAAGAGAGAAATAAATCTTTTCCAGAGGGATTATTTAACGATTGCTTGAGGAGTTCTCTAAGATTTGCCAGTTCAGATGAAGTGAGTAAAATCAAATTCAGTGCCTGCACATTGAATAATACAAGTGAGCAAAATTTTCAATATTGCAACCCTTTCCAGTTCTTCACTTCTTGAATATGCCAAGGCAAGGTTTATTGAGAAACCTGAATCATGATAGATGCAAATTCTAGATCATTTTCGCTCTCTAGGTTTGTTGAAAATTCCCGGTAAACTCTTTCAGCGCCCAAAAGTACACAAAGCCTACGAACTATCAAAGCACCTCGTCTGATGATATATCACATCAAAAGTGTATAATTTCAAAATTCTTGATTACATACTTTTCCTATGTAAAAGAAGGCTTGTAAAGTATCGAGCAAGAAAATAAATAAATAAATAAACAGAAGATAGTAGAAAGTTGAACAACATACTTCTCGAGAAGCATGTGGTCAGAGTGAAAGCTATGAATCAGGAAAGCAATTAGATGACGAAAGTGTTGCACATCTTTAGCTATGCCTGCATGGACTTTTAGCACAAGAAGAACAACCTGCAAATGAGCAGAAATTCTGTGATATGCCGTAAACACAGCAATATTTAAGAGTAAAAACAGATTCAATGCTGAATAGCATAGCAGAAGACAAAGCAAATTTGAAGTTGACGACTCAGCTATACATAATATTCTCCTTGCCACACCAGAATTTAACAAAAAAACAAAGAAATAACAAATATTATTATTAAATTCAAAGTCTGAAATTACAACAAACAGCAAAGAAATCTGAAATTGCAACAAAACAACAATACAGCACTAGAACTAGTGTTGGATCTAAGGTGTAGGTGGTGCAAGTTAGGGTTTGGATCTCTGGAGTGGTGGTAAGGAGGCGGCTGGCAAGTTGAAAACAGCAAGACAGTTGTTTCAAGGAGTTCGAACAGCAAGCAAGCAACAAGAACAGCTGTGGGAGGCCTGTCAGGGGCAGCAATGGCAAGGACGTGGGCCAGGGAAAAGGTCTGGGAAAAATAAACACCACTTAAAGATAGATATAACAATAGCACAACTTGGAATTCTATTATACAACCTGTAGATGGAGAAGGATAAGCCTATAGCCATCCCAAAGCAAATCACCAAAAAATTTGAACCCTAAATACCAACAAAAGCAAATATACATCTTCAAACAACTAGGAGTCGGCCCCCTCTTAAGAAGAGGCGACACGATCTTAAGGTGCCCCGTGCCAGTCTCCCGGGTTGAGGGAGCTTCGACCTCTGCTGTTAAATTTTTTGGCTCCTCATAGTATGGAGTCAAGTCGACCACGATGAAGGAAGTAGAAATGTTGTAATCTCCCAATAAGTCAATCATGTACGTGTTATCATTTAGCCTCTCGAGGGCCTTGAAACATTCATCTGCTATGGGTTTGAGTTTCCCAAAAGATCCTAGGGGAAACCTCTCTTTTTTCAATCTAATCCACACAAGATCTCCCTCCTAAAATGTCACATGCTTCCAGGTTTTATTAGTTTGCTTCTGGCACTTGTGGTTTAGCTTGGTGATCTATCTCTCTCTCTCCTCGAGTAGCCTTTGAATCTCCTACACTCTAGCCTCAGCATCCACACTCTACAGCAGGAAGAAGTGGTATCAGCTAAAGTAGGGTGAGTCGGTGACGCCCATACACAATCTCAAAGGGAACATGTCATGTAGACTGAATCAGGAACATAGTGTAAGCACCTAAGGAGGTTTCCCAAACTCTTGTTCATCACCTCTGTCTGACCATTCATCTATGGGTGAGATATTCAACTGAACTGAAACATAGTACCAAGTTACAACTGATCATCAAGTACCAGAAGTTTCAACTAAAACTAGTAGGGGAAAGAGGAAAGATTTCT